AAAAAAAAATTAATAAATTGAAGTTTTAAGGGTATATATATATTTGTTAGGATATGTTGTTTATATGTTTAAAATTTTACGTGAATTGTTTTTGTTTTGAAAAAGTTATTTATATTTATGTCACATAAATAAAATTCCAAAAAGTTTTGCAACACACTGTATTTTTTTATAATATTAAGAAACAGACTTATGAAAAATAAAAATTTTATTATTAGTTTTAAACTATTTAATTTACTTATGATTTAATTTATAGAAAAAAAGTTTGATTAAAAAAAATTAATTCAAGTATTTTTGTTATTTTATTATTCAAGTTATAAATTATAATTCTTTTATAACAAATATAATTTTTTATAATTTTTGGAATTTTAGTAATACAATAAGATATATTAAGTATAATAAGAAATAGATATTATATATTTTATTAATTTTTCAAGTCAATAATATAGATAATTTTTATATAAAGTATATTATTTAATATAAAAAAACAATTTTTCAAAAAAAAAATATAATTATTCAATTAAGTTTATATATTAATAAGAAGTAAAAATAAAAAGAGTTTTAAAATGAATTTATAAAAAAATAACTATAGACTTTTTTCAATGCAATTTAAAGAAAAATAAAGATTCTTAAATTTTAATATATTAATATACTTTTTTGGTTTTTTTAAAAATTTCATAATGAAAATAAAAAAAGTATAGAGTATTGAAAGGTAAAGAAAAAAATTACAATAAAAAATTTTTTTAAAAAAAGTATAAATAAAAAAAGTTTTTTTTTTAATTTAATAATTATTTTTTAATATTAAATTAATTATTATAATAATTTTAAATATGTAGTATATAAAAATAATAATAAAATTTTTTATTAATTTTATTATATGTTTATTTATATACAATATATATTATTATTATTATTTTTTTTAATTTAATATCAAATCTAAACAATATTCTAATTTAAAGTTTTTTTAATAATTAATTGAAACAATATTTTTAAAGTTTTTTATTGGTCAATTGACAAAATAATTTTAAAAATAAATTGTTTAATCAAATTTATGTTTTATAATATAATACATGGATTACATGATTTTTCTTTTGGATAAAATATACTAGTAGTCAAAAATTTTAATAATTAAATATTAATAATAACAATATTAATTTTTTATTAAAAAAACTTTTTTTTAATTATATCTGTTTTGTTAAAAATTTTCTTTTTATAGTAATTTTAAGCAAGAAAAATGTTTTACACTTTTTATCACAAGTGAGCCCCAACTCAAGAACTCAAGAACCTTTAAGATAACTGGTACAGTGGAATAGGACCTCTAGTCAAAGTTTATTCAAGTTTGGAAGTTTTGTTTATCCTTCGGTTACATGAGGAAAGGCCTGTGGCAATTTTTTTTTCTTCTGTTTTCTTGTACTTCTCTTTCTTTCTATTATCATAAAAATTATTTATATCAATATTATTATATTCACTAAATCAAACACCTTTCAAAAAACACACTTAAACAATATTATTGGATTTATTGTTTGTTTTAACACAATCTTTATACATAATTTTATTATGACACTATTTACTGTGTTATTTCAAAATTTTTAAAAATTTTTTTTCAAAAAACCAAAATTAATTTACCTTTTTCAGATAATTATTGCTCTCCAATCATCCAATCAAATTTCATTAAAATAACAAAGAAAAAACTAAATTTATTTAAACTGGTTTTTTAATACAATAACAATAACAACAACTATCACAACAATAAACAACGTTAACTATACTTTACTATTTGTATCAATAAGGGTCATGTCTCTAAGACCAGTGCTGATACAAGGGCTAGACCTTTGGTCATCTTTTAGATATTTTTTTTGTTTACATAAATTTTATAGTTTAAGTGATTTAGTTTTAGTTTTAGTAACTATTGTTATTATAGCTCTAGTCTTTTTTTCTTTTCAAATTTTTTTTATTTTCTATTCATTTTATGTCCAATCAAAAAACTTTGAATAAGTAGGCATAGCCACTATTCAGTTATATTTAGCATATATAATATTGTTTAAAATTTATTTTTTGATATTAGCTAGATATACAGTAGATGTGTAAACAAGCTAGCATTTAACTTGTTGCATTTTTGTACACAAGAGATATTGTTTCTTTCACAATGTATATATATTATTATACTAATAAATAAAGAAATAATGTTTATCTACTGAAAAAAAAAATATTGATTTTTTATTATAATTTATTCTAGAAAGTACTTTTTTTGACTATTATTATTTTAATAAAACTTAAATAGCTTAACTGATTATAATAATAATTATAAAAATTGCTAATTTTGGATTAGCAGGTTAGGTGGTTTAAACTGATAATCCCATATGATTTGGGAATAGCGTCAGTTAATACTTAGGTAGTATTTACATTGACTGTTTATGTAAAGTAATATGTAATCTCTAATGATTTAATAAACAGGGCTATTTTCACGATCTAGAAGGATATAGTTAGAGAATTCACTCCTTTATTATGTCATCGTTGTATTAATTGATTTTTTTACGTCATATTTTTTAGCCACAACCTTCACGTGTATAATATTCCTATAACACGCGTTGTTTATTTTTGGGACTCGATGTGTATATAAATGATAAAATTTCTTTTTCTCACCCCATTCCTACCGCAAGAAAAGGTCACTTTTCTAAACTTTTACCAGACCAAAATCTGTTCCTGTCACGAGAAAGTTTTCTTTCAACTTTCTTATTATTCTACCGAACCAAAATTCCTAGCCATGAAAAGAGCTTGCCAAAACAGCTAAGTGTTTTCTTGTCACGTTATGTTCTGATCGAGTCTGCGATGTAGGTAACAAGGTCTACTGGTTCCGAATGAGGGATCGGTTATGAACCTTCCTTGCGCAACTGCAACATGGGCGAGCGTGAAACCTGTTTCCTATCGTTCGTTGATCCTTAGAGATGGTGGTGGTTTAGTCGAGGAATAGGAGCAATAGATCTAGTCTCGATTATACTATTCACCTCTTTTTGAGTGACACGGGCTTTAGTGCATATTGGGTCTTCATTGCGATCACCCTTTCCTCTCAATTTTTTTTTTTTAGCATTATGAATCCTTCGTGTTGTGTATGAACAAAGGTAAATAATCTAAAGCCTTTTTACCTCCTGATATGCCGGTTTTACACTTTTTAACTTTTCTATCGACTATTATTCCCTTAGGCAAGTTCGGTCCTTTCGTTCTATCGCGTAGTACAAGTTACAAATATTTGGCGTACACGTGAAAACAAGTTAAGAGTATATTATAAATTCTCTTTGTTATTCTACTCTATTCGCGAAAACATGATGACGTAACGGGATACCGCGCTGCGCACCTGCGCCATATTTATCAATAAAAATAATTCTCGGGAAACTTTAATGTACATGTATAATAGTAGTTACAGTACTTACAGTATATATTTTATACTTTTTTTAACTACGAATTAAAATAAACTTAAAACGAACTTTTTGACTTATGAGAATAATATCGCCGTATAAATCGATGTGGATATCCTAAACAATTCCTGATCTTGGCATTAAAATTTAATAACTTTTTTAAAAAATTAAATTTTAGTTTAAAATAATGCTTCGGACCCTAACGGTTTCCGTTTTCTAGTTTGTATTACAAAATACAGCAGTGTACTTATGGATTACGGTTTATGAGATCATCAGTATTTGTTTTCTTCTTATCTGGCCAAAAAAAGGAAAGGGAGGGATAGAAGATGAAATATGTTGCTTTCCAACTTTCATGAAGATGAATACGAGTGCTTAGAAACGTTGCTAAATTACTTGCTTTCTGACATTCGGTAATTACTGCATAATCCAAGTTATCGATACTCGTTTACCTTTCGTATAAGTACAATGTTATAATTTCGACGTGCAATTATTGAAATGTTATTATTTGGATTATTTAGTAAGCGCACAAAGAAAACGGAGAAATATGATTTTTAGTCCAATGACGCAATGTACAGCACTATACCCGTTCTGTTTTTTGTTAATGCTAATAAATATCCGAGTGAGAATAATTTTTGTCACCACTTACGTACATCTAACAGAAATTTGCATAATTTTTTCGTCACACAACTAGTCCTACGCGAAGTCCATAAATTGGATCTTTTTTTTCTAAGAATGACGACACTCACCTACCTTTTCTCTTAAAAACATCAAATATGAACCTTGTCGATGATTGTCTATACTACTTGGCACAACATATCAATGATTTTAACACTTTGTACAATTGTCTTTATGTTAATCATCTCATGTGCAAAAGCGTAACTCCAAGATTATGGTCTCAACCATTATTTGAAACAAAACGAAAAGGTTTGCTGGTTAGGACTTACCTTTCATGCTTGAATGAAGAGGAGAAGGCGAACTTGATTCGTTTTGACATTAATCTATCCGATGTCAATCAGCGCCCGTTCCTTCAATATGAGAAGTACATGGAATCCTGCGACAACCTTGTTCTTGAAGCAGCCGTTTATAAATGGCTAAGTCTGACAACAACCAATCGCATATACTGGCAAGATCTGAGAGTCAAACAGATCCTACGTGCACTTTGGAAAATGTTTTTGTCAAGAAGTCATAATTTCAAATCTTTAGTTTATAATGTTTCTAGATGGTCTGATGTTGAATTTAATCTTCCAGAGAGATCTATGATATTAAGTGCTAAACCTAGTCTGTCAAACCTTCAAGTTTTTAATTTGTCTATAATAAGAAGTTCACATGGTTGCGAGGGTCCGTTAAATTTTCTAAAAAGTATACCTTCTGTTTGCTCAAATATCCAAGAGCTGGAAATTTACAATGGTGATTGGGAAATAGACTCTGAATTATTCTGCAACATCATCAAATCCCAGCGCAATATCAGGTCATTTAGTTACATGGGAAATACCCTCAATGTCATTTCTTCATTGAAAGCTCACAGAAATTCATTAACTAAATTAGAGTTTTTCGGTTCGTCCATTGGTTCATTAGAGACTCTTACTTACTTGGAATATCTGGAATCGCTAGAAATCAGTGATTGCACTTTTACCGTAAATAGTGATCATATTTTGTCTTCAACTTTTCGTAATCTTAAAGAATTGTCCTTGATGAATAACGATATAGAACCGGATACTGTGGCCAAAATTATCAAGAAGGCTGGACACACCTTAAAGAGATTAATATTAGATGTGATCACCTCGGAAACTATGGTAGCAGCATCACAATATATTCAAGATATCGTTTACCTTGGAGTTTCGGTCAATTTGGAAATCCCTTCGATTTTCTTTCTTTGGATTAAAAAATTAAGACTTGAACGTTTAATCTTTTTTGAGAATTCAATCATCTGCACCAAAAATTTTATGCGTGATTTAAGAATGAGCCTACCATCAACCGTTACAGAATTAATCATAGATTCTTTTAATCCTACTGCAATCGAATTATCGAATTTTATGCAAGGTTGTGCAGCACCATTAAGATCTCTGGTCTTACGGTTTAATAGCAAGTGTATTGATCTTTACCTTAAAGTACTTGCGGCCACTGTACCCATGATGAAAACCTTGGAAACTTTGTCCTTTACAAATTCGCCACATGATCTTATATGGAAGGATTCGCAAAAACGATACATTGGTATTATAGAAGAAAGTGGTGTTGAAATTTTGACGCCAAAATGAGCTTTGCGTAGCGTTAGATATCGTTTAGTAATTAAATTTAAACTTGAGCCAGCAAATTAAAAAAAAATGACATTTGCGCAAAAATTCCGAAATTTCATATGTAGTGCACATTTATTCAAAAATTTTAACAATTGGTTTACAAGTTAAAATATTTTTTCTGAAAAAACGTACATTGTCATGTTACTTGATGAAATAACATTGATGTTAAAAAAATTGTTCAATAATTTTATCCGCGCGCATTTTATTGATGTTAAAAAAATTGTTCAATAATTTTATCCGCGCGCATTTTATAAAATTACAAGAACGGGATGTATAGTAGCTCGAAAAAATCATTCATATTTAGCATTATTTATTTACATAGTCGAGGTCAGGGTTGGCGACACGGTCACGGTACAATCCTGGGTTCAGGTAAGTTTACAGGGGCAAGGTAGAAAAAGGTGTGGATTTGATATTTATTATTTTAAAGAATAAGTTTATTTAATTAAAAGATTAATTTTATAATAATAATAAAAGTTTTATACAGTATTTGATTATAATTATTAATTAATTTCAATAATTTTAATTAATTACTAATTATAGCTTCATGTAATAATTTTTTATTATTAAACTTTATTTTTATATATTAATTTGTCTATTGTAAAATTATAATTAAATATAAATAAATATTTAATGACAATTTAATTATTATTGTTAATTATAAATTTTAATGTTTGATGAAATTTCATAAAATTTGATATTTAAATATTTTAACATACAGTGTGTAACAAAAATAATTGAACAATATATTAAATTTTATTTTTGTAATATTTCAATAACTAATTGATTAA